TACAAACAAATAGACTTCATACAAAGTGATTGCAACTATTCTAGCCTCTATCTAACATTTTTATCTCGTGTGTGTGTGTGTGTGTGTGTGTGTGTGTGTGTGTGTGTGTGAAAACTGTAGAATGCCATTACTTTTGAAAATAAACACATTCATTAATTCATTCATTTTGTTTTGCACTTCCTTAAATTTTTTGGTCTGCCTTTCTTTCAATGCAAGGCGCCAACACAGTTCACAAAATGATTTTTACAAATCAGAAGCAACTATAAATATAATATTTTTTAAAAATTAAATGTAATAATATTAAAAAACCACTAACATAAAAGCAATTCAAAACATTTAACACAAGATAAAACAATATAATATATAGCATCCCATATTAAAACTCCATGTCAGCCATGATTCAGTTGCTTCTTCTTCTTCTTCTTCTTCTTCTTCTTCTTCTTCTTCTTCTTCTTCTTCTTCTTCTTCTTCTTCTTCTTCTTGTGCCTGATATTTTTTAATAATAATCTGTGCAATCTTTGGAAATTCACAGATGAGGTGACACAGTTTCACTTTTTTCTTGGCAAAGTCACCATTTGCTGTTAGCACTAACTCTTTGGATCTTTGCTTTCATCACGTTGGTTTGGAGTGCTTGTTCTTGTGTAGCAATAACCAAGCCTTCGGTTTCTTTCTTAAAGGTCCCCAGTTTTGGCCATGCCCATGTTGAATTATGACCACGCTTTCCATCAATATTTCTCAGGTGTTGTGTATGTAGTGGTTTATTTTTCCAGCGATTTAATTTCTTTTCAAATTTTTGTTTCTTATATTGAGCCTTTGTTTCTGTTGTTTTCAAAATATTCTCCATTTTCATTGCTTTCTGTAATTTTTCTCTGGTTGTACTGATATAATCATTTAGGCTTCCTTTTTCTTCCTCTACTACCTCCTGTATTTGCAGTAATCCATGGCCTCCGATTTTTGGGCTAAATATAATCTGTCCACATCCCTTTTTGGATGTGGTGTGTGATGCATGTTCATTCATTTTTGTGTTTTTCAATCCAGTTCTTCTAGTTCATTTTGAGTCCAATCTATTGTCCCAGCTGGTTATCTAATTACTGGAATGGCCTATGTATTTATGGCTTTGATTGTATTTCCCCCATTTAATTTCGGTTTTAAGATTTTCCGCAGTCTATTGATATATTCTCTTTCTTTCAGTTCTTTAACTTTTGTGTGCAGGATGTTGTCTGCTTCTAGTATTCCAAGATACTTATAATTTTCATCACTTGAGAGTGATTTTATAATATTACAAATTTTAACTCTATTCCATCTAGTTTTTGGATCTTGACAGAGTTGCACATTTGTCAATTCCAAATTTCATTTTGATATCTTCATTAAATATTTGCATTGTGTTTAGCAGTGATTCTATCTCTGTGGAAATTTTTGCATATAGTTTTAGGTCATTTATTTATTTATTTATTTGATTTGATTTGTATCCTGCCCATCTGGTCTGGTCATTCATGTATAAGAGGTGATTGATTTTTCCAGCTTGCTGTGAAATATGGTAGCCCAATCCAGTTTTATTTAAAATTATTGACATGGGGATTAGTGAGATGGTAAACAGCAGTGGTGACAAAGTATCTCCTTGAAATAGTCCTTTTTTAATGCTAACTTCCCCAAGTTCTTTACCATGGTCCATTAAGACAGTTTTCCATTTTTCCATGTTTTTCTTGAGGAACGTCTGAATGTTTTTAATTATCCCAAACATTTTTAGGCAGGTTGTTGTTGTTGTTACACTTGGAAAGTGTGCTTGGAGGGAATAGCGTTAAAACTGAGAATCATTCAACCTAAAGCGTCTCAGAATGTGTGTCTCCATTTTTAGCTGAATATATAAATAAAAGCTCAGCTAGAAGATCTTAGAAATCCACTCACCACCTCTGATTTAATCTATTTCTTATCTTCTCCTTCAGGAAATTCAGGGCAAGCTCACAACATTTGGTTGTTGTGGGTTTTTCGGGCTCTTTGGCCGTGTTCTGAAGGTTGTTCTTCCTAACGTTTTGCCAGTCTCTGTGGCCGGCATTTTCAGAAGACAGCACTCACAACATTTTTCTCACAACCTCCCTGCAAGGTAGCTGTGGCTGAGAGATGATGACCAGCCATTGATCATTCTCAGCTTTATGACTGAGTAGAGATTTAATTATACACAACATTTATTTATTCAGCAGGCAGAAAAAATAATAACAAAACTTTGAAAAGGCATGAGCTTTGTGACACCTTAAAGACTATTATATTTCAATGTAAGCTTTTGTGGACAAGTCCACTTCTTCAGATATATGAGACAAAATACGGAGTTCACACAGTAAAACATTCATGCCTGGCTTTAAGATACAGTGGTGTGTGGCTGCATTTCAGGAAACATGTTTCTGTACTTTTTCAAAGCAGTGCAGCAAAGCATTTTTGTTTAGCTGTTCAAAGATAATTGAAGGTTCAGTCCTACACTAACATGGAGTAAATTTGCTCTCATTGAACAGGGGCTTACTTCTAAATATGTATAGAATCACATTGTAATTTAGGTATACAATAGATTTTCCCACTTGGTAAGATTCATGAAGGAGCTATCTCTCAGCAAGTATTAGTAGTGATTGGAGGCAGTATTCTTTTATATATCAGTTGCTTAGGAACAAATGATAAAGGGGGGGCTATTAACATCAAGCCCAGAAGTATCTGGTTAGCTACTCTTGAAGGTAGGATTTTGCTCCTCAGTTTTATCCATCTCATCTCTTCTTATGTTTGTATTTTTTGTGGTGGAAATGAATACTTTGGTCACACTGACAGCTTGCGAATATGGTTCATCCTATAAGATTGGGCTTTCATTTATGCTTCTCTAATTATGAGGGTTCACCACATCTGGAAGGCACCAAATTAAAGAAGAATGTCATACACAAATACTTGAAAGTCGAGTCCCATTGAAATCAGTGGAGCTTGTTTGTCAGTAGTCATGTGTAGGATACCATTATCAAATTCCATTATTTGAAGTAAATGTTCACCTTCCAGTATCATTGAAACATAGATAGCATTTGAAAAAGGATGATTTTTAAAATAGCATGGAAATCCTGGCTTGGGGTCTAGAAGAAGTGGAGAACAGTAAAGAAAAACAAAACAAATCCATGTGAACAGGGAAAAAGTGTCAGTGTTAACTGCAATAAAATCATCCCTTCAGTTTTAAAACTTCTTAATTTCACCATATAACAATTTTTTTCTCTTACTGGTAAATATTGTTTGCATTGGCAGGTCTCTTCCTGTGGCAACTGACCTTTAAAAAAAGGCAGCCTAAAGTTGCCTGTAGCATACATCTTTTGAATCTGAAGAGAGTACCTAAATATAATTATTGGTTCAGATCTCCTTATGTCAGATTTTAATATTTAATATCTCCTACAGTTGAATTCTTGAAGTCAAAGTCCCCATGCACCTTAAAGCATGCAATAGAATTCAGTCTTTTCTTTTTCTAACTAAAGAAACGTATGAACAATCTGTTATCTCTAGATACTATGCAGAGAGTGAGCTTTGGTGAAATCACTGCTCCAGAGTTTGGAAGTTTATAGTGTTTAAAAAAGATGGCAGAATAACTTGCAGGGAACATATTTCCTTTCACAGTTTATGAAATCTTCCTTGTCTGATCAAGTACTTTTTCAAAGCAGAAGAACAAAGCATTTTTGTTTAAAGAACCTGTTGTGGGTTCAAAGAGCCCGGAAAACCCACAACAACCATTTTTGTTTAGTGGATTGAAGATAAAGGTTCTGTTGTAAACTTATATGGTGTAAATTTTATTGCATTCAACAGGGGTTATCTCTAAATATGTATAGAATTGCATTGTAATTTAGATTTTTAATAGATTTTGTTATTTGCCTATAATATGACAGTAAGTTCTTACATATATTTCTCTACAGAAATAAGTCAGATATTTTGTTTTTAATATCCCATGGTCTTCCAATCATTAGAGCCTATGAGGTATTTCTAAGAACCATTTCTAAGAGTTAAAATCGATTTATAATTGGTCCAGAACATGGCGGCCAGATTACTAACTGGGGTGAAAATATATCATCATATTTCCCCAACTCTGGCCACGTGACACTGGTTACCCATTAGATCCCACATTGACATCAAGGTATTGATTACATATGAAGCCCTAAACTGTTTAGGACCTCGATACCTGTCAGAGCACCTTCTTCCACCTAATTCTACCCATGTCACTCGTTCTAGCCAGACTGGGTGTCTCAGGGACTTAACTCCAAGAGAGGTCCAGAAGGAAAAAAACTAGAAACCAGGCCTTCTCCGCCGTGGCCCCTCGCCTTTGCAACATCCTCCCCCCCCCCGAGATCCACCTGGCTCCCTCGCTGGGAGTTTTAAGAATAAATTGAAGACCTGACTGTTCAGGCAGACCTTCCATCCTGCCATTACTTAATTTCTTCTCCTGGTTTTTCCATCTTGGATTATGTTAGCTTTTTAAAGTATTTTTTTAATTGCTGATTTTAACTTCATTGTCTTTTTTGGACAGTAGACTGCCCAGAGTAGATTCATCTAGGTGGGTGGTATAAAAGACGAATGAACGAATGAACGAACGAATGAATAAATAATTATTCCAGTGATATTCTAAAGAGGACCTGCTTTTATAGTAACAAAAATGGCGTCTAACTGCTGTGGAGAAGCGGTGGCAGTGATGGTGATGGCTGCTGCTGCTGCTACTCATATTGCCATATATCAGCATGTTCTCTAGAGCTGTGCTTTCCTTAAATTGTGCTTCAACATAAAGAGAAGCCCTTAATATTGGATCTATCAATTTGCTGTAAGATATTCACTGGGACTCTGTAGCTCTATGAACACAAACAAAAATATATTTATGAATCTGCAGACTGCATTGATTTGTACATATGTTTCTTTTTGTGCTTCTAGCATTATTTTTCTGATCTGCATTCCACCACACCAACAAATGTCTTGCTAACATAGTGTGTTGTTTATGTTTCTTGCAGAGGAAGATGTATATGGTGTTTACTCCAATCTGTTGTTCAAGCATTTCCTAGCAGAAGGGATTGTCTGTGGACATAATTTATTTGTTGCTTCAGATAAAGGAGAGCCTGCTGATATTCTAAAGGTAAAAAAAGTTTTTGTTTCTGATCATTGCCTGATATATATTGAACTACATTGAAAGCCATGCTAAAAATGCAGCACACACATTTGTCTATTTCTGTTTCTACCCGTATTGGGTTTCTTTATTACCTGCAGTATCCCAGTGTGGTGTAGTGGATACAGTGATGGACTAGAACCTTGGAGAACAAAGTACAAATCCCTGCTCCTCCATGGAAACTTGATTGGCGGAGTGGAACTGGTAAAACCATTCCTTAAATAGCTCAGTTACCTTGAAAGGCCTTTTAGGGTCACTATAAGTCGATTTTGACTTTGTGGCACAAAACACCCCCCAATATATCTCAACCTTCTTCTTCTTCTTCTTCTTGTTCTTCTTCTTCTTCTTCTTCTTCTTCTTCTTCTTCTTCTTCTTCTTCTTCTTCGTCTTCGTCTTCTTCTTCGTCTTCGTCTTCGTCTTCGTCTTCGTCTTCGTCTTCTTCGTCTTCGTCTTCTTCTTCTTCTTCTTCGTCTTCGTCTTCGTCTTCGTCTTCTTCTTCTTCGATCCCAATCCCCTCAGGGAGAAGTTATGGGTCAACATAATACATTTTTAATTGTGACCCAGGATCTCTGTAAACAAGCTACCTGTCCTAGAATTAAAGCAGCCATAATGACTATGGTTCAGAGAAATCCTAGAAATCGTTACGCGAGAATTTGGTGAGATTAGGTTACATGTGAATTTGATGACCATGTGCTTCTCATACCAGGTAGAAGAATGATTGGTCAAACAGGAATGTAAATGATAATACTAGATTCACCAAAGTATGAGTAGCTGCGATAAGGCATAGAGCAACGCGATTCTGAAACTATTTACCCTCTGATATTGTTGTGCTCATGTATGGAGTCTGAAGTGAAACCAAACACTTAGAGAATATGTGCAGAGAATGAAACACATTTTCAATAAACATTGAAGTTTTAGTACCAGAACAAATAGGCAAATGCCAGTGGGTTTTTAAAGTTATTAAAACCAAATAAATATTCCCAATTTGTTTCAAAATCTGTATTTCTGAGAATACTGTATATGTAAAAGATTGAGAATGCTTTGTACCGGCTATTCTTACTGGCTTTTATAATCTGAGAAAAGCTGTTACTCAAAACACATCTTGTTTGCTTTTTTTAAAGAAAACAGTGCTCTACTTCCTATTGTGGTACTTAACACTCCATGGATGCAATGTCTGTAAGCACACAGGTCTCCTAAGAGATTACCTGTGGCCTGAACAGAGAGGTTCCAGGGGCAAGTGTACTCCTAAATCAGCTGAGCTGAGTCCGGATACCCAGCAAGGCAGTCCCACTTACTCCTTTTCCCAAGTCTGTTCAAATTAGCAATTAACTGAGAGAAAAACCAACCAATAAAAATCATGAGTTTTGGAGTCTGCCAAGACGAACAAAACTCAGGCAATTAATGGGCTCAAGTAGCATATCTGTGGCCTACAGATAATTATGCAGGTTTGCTGCTCAAGAGACCAAACATAAGATTTTAAGAATTATTGTTTTATTAGAAAAATAAAGTATTCAGATATTCAGTGTGTTGCAAAGCATAGCATTCAAGTACATTTCCATAAATCAAAGCGGTTAGAACTTTAGCAAATTCCAGCTATAAAAATAAAATAAAAAACTCTAAAAATAGCTTGAAAGGCAGGCAAGGCATAGCCCTCCTTTCTCTATCCTTATTCTGAACTACATTCTAGCATAATACTAAAAAATAGCAAATGGAACTCAGAAGTCCATCCTCAAAATCCAAGGCAAAAATCAAGTCAAAAATCAAGTTTAAAATCATGTTAAAAATCAAGTCCTTTCTGTCTCCATTCTCCATTTTCTTCCATGCTGGAACCACCCTTCTTCTTCACTCTCCTGTGATGTAAACCAATCATTATTATTATTATATAATGGCTGTCTCTCCACACCCCGCCTCCATTTCCCATGGGATGTGCAGGTGTTGTTGACCATCTTCCTGATGTTGTGTCTTGACCCTCATCGTCTCTGGCCAAGCTTGCTTCATGGAAAATTCCAACTAGCTCTAAGAGAAAACAGCTTATTGAAGCATCTAGTTATGCTAACACAGACCAATATGGATTCCTTCTACACAGTTCCATGACTACAAATCCCATTCAGAAATTACATTTTAGCCTTAATAACCTAAACCATGACAATGTCTGCATCAGCAGACATCCACCATCACATGGCAATAACCACGGAGTGTGAGGAAAAGAAAAGGGGACTGGTGCTATATTCAAATTGATGTCCACACACCTCCGTAGTGCAGCAGCTTCTTGGCCAGCAATATGGATAATATTTTTTTATTATCTTCGCGAATACAATATGGATAATGCCTGGTTTCAGAGTCTTGCAGGGTGGGAGGAGTTATTTCCAGAAGAGTTAGCTTCTCTTGGTCCTAACGAGCACCAGACAGAAGCATTTACTTTTCTTTCTCGCATTTTTCTTTTTTCTCCCTTTAATTTAGTTAACATGCTTTTTACAAATTACTATAAACTTGGTTTTCTCAACATTCATTTTAGATTATGTGAATTACTTACATCATTGACTTTGCTGAACAACCTGTGCAAATTATTCAAATTGTCAGAAAGTAACTACATCATCTGTGTATTAAATATGGTTGACAACCTGTCCATTGCCAAAAAAACACCATCATTTGATTCAGCAAGCAATTTTCTAAAAATGTTCTCCTAGGTCAGATTAAAAAGCAGTGTGGAGAGTATATATATATACTTATTCTTCCGCTACATGAATGACTTTTTAGATGGATTGTCATGCGTTACTGCTCTGACTGGATCTTTAGTTCTAGTTGTGTTTACCATCTCTGACAGTGGTATTTGTTTGTTCCTTTTTAATATTTGCATACTTATTGTATTAATATTAATACTTTAATATTTTCTTCTTAATGATGTAACCTGCTTCTTTATAATCGTTCTTAGTTTTAAATGTTGTCTTTTAATGGTGTAAACCACCATTGTGTACTCATTGTTTTCAATTTTAAATATTGTCTTTCAAAGGTGTAAATCGCCTTGGTTCATTTTTAAGGAGAAAGATGCGGTAAAAATATTTATCATCATCATGTGATCTTCAAATTTCACTGCACCTTTTGGTTGCCAGGTTGCCAATTATACAAGTGTCTATTGAATCAAGACGAACTCTGTTAGGCTGCCATGGTTGACTTTGTCAAAGGCATTCTCGTAGTCAGTAAAATAAGTATACTGTATTTTAATTAATTAATTAATTAATTTATACCCCACCCATCTAGTGGATGGCTAACAATAATAGATAAAATCGAAACAATAAAATAAAATAAAAAACAACAGTAGTAATATAGTTCAAGATGGGAAAAATAATCAAGTGATGACAGGAGGGAAAGCCTGCCTAAGAGCCAGGTCTTAAGCTAGCTCTTTAAAACACCCAGTGAGGGAGCCAGACAGATCTCTGGGAGCAGACTGTTCCAAAGGCGAGGGGCCACTGCTGAGAAGGCCAAGTTTCTGGTTCTTTCTCTCTGGGCCTCCCTTGGCATTAGGCCACTCAGCCACCCTTCTTGGCTAGAACAAGTGATTCCAGTAGATTTAGGTGGGAGGAGGCATTCCACTAGATATCAAAGTCCTAAACCATTTAGGGCTTTATACGTCATCATTAACACTTTGAAATCAATGCAGAAATGAACAGGCAGCCAATGCAAGGCAGACAAAGTGGGGAAAATATGCTGATAGTGAGAAGTTGGGCCACAGCATTCTGCACCTTTTGAAGCTTCCACATCAGTCTCAAAGGTAGCCCCACATAGAGTGCGTTACAGTAGTGTAATCTCGAGATTACAAGCTCATGGATCACAGTGGTGAGCGCCCCAACATCAAGATAGGGACACAGCGGGGCAATCCGCCACAAATGGAAATAAGCGGAGTGGACCACTGACGCTACCTAGGTTTCCATGGTGAGCGCTGGATCCAGATGGACCCCCAAGCTGCGAACCTCACTCTTTGCAGTGAGAATCACTCCTCCAAAAGACAGGGAGTTTTACAAACCACCGATGGAGGGGCCACCCACCCCCAGGACCTCTGTCTTATCCCGGTTCTGCCTCAGTCCATTCTCCTGCATCCATTGCAGTACAGCCTCCAGGCAGTGCTGAAGGGACGGAACGGCATCCACTGTGGTTGGAGAAAAGAAGATGTATAACTGGTTGTCATCAGCGTACTGATGCCATGAAGCCCCAAACCCCCTGCCATGATGACCCCAATCAGCGGCATCATATAGATATTAAACAGCATTGAGGAGATAATTGAGATTCCACGGGGCTAAAACACACTCCCCAAGCTATACTCTCTGAGGACGGTCCTACAAGAAGGATTGGAGCCAGGCAAGCGCCAGACCACTGATTCTCAACTCGGAGAGCCTCCCCAGGAGGATACCGTGGTCGGTATTGAAGGCAGCTGAGATATCGAGGAGAACCAACAAAGAGATTTTGCTCCTGTGAAACACCAAACACTGGTTCGCCCCTAAAAATGAACAGGCACGAACCACCAAACTGTTGGCTCATGCCCATCTCTGTTTGCTAACATTCTGAAGAGGCTCTCTTCTTAAGACACATCACAGTATTGGCAAATTAAAAAAGAAGACTTGCTTTGGTTCCTTTCCAGCCATTACAGACGCTGGAAATGAACAAAAACAGAATGATCCTACATTCACCTAAAAAGTAGAAGCCCCTGTCAGAGGCCAGAAAAATGTGGGTGTGAACACCCAAGGGGCAGGGTAGCTCTCTCCAGGAAAGATGTTGTTTGCTGGTTTTATGAACAAAGCAGCAGGTCCCCACAGTGGCCCAAACAATGGGCTAATTGTCCATTTAGTCACCTTCTGAATTTGGTTTTGTCATCTTAGTAAGGCAATTTGGATCTCAGTAAAGTACTGTATTCTGAATATTAAGAATCATTATTGATAGAAAAATTGTAAAGCCACTGTCTCCCCATCCTAAAAATGCATTGTTTTTAAACAGTCTATCATCTTGGAACTACTCCTGGACAAAATTGATTTAAAAACAGGTTAAGAGACACGATTCATGCTAGAAATGTTCACTTTGACCTGCTCTAATTTTATGGCATGTGATTGGGAGGTTTTGTATTCTGAAAATAAGACAAATATTGCTGGTTTAAGGAGGGCAAAAGATAGTTTTATAAATCATAATTACATTAAATCTGTATAACTAAAAGACAAATAGGAGATTTTAAAAAACTCATCTTCTGCCAGGCATGCTATAGTACAACACAGTAATTTATCCATCATCTTTTGAACACATTTTCATGTCTATTGTAGTCAAAGTTTCTTCAGGAAATCAGCATTAAGATGTAACACTGTGGACAAATCACACTCCTGCAAAAATATTACAGAACATCACACAGATTTTAAACATTTCTGCTCAGTCAATTCATCTGCCTAACAGTCCACTGTAATACTTCTTGTTCAAACGTAAGAAATTATACATACAATATTATACCAAATCTTTATGGGACCTCATTGCAATGCACTGCACAATGATTATGCCATAATTTTCAGAATTTAAAAAATGTCCTTGGAAAGATCAAGGTAATAAATTGTAAGCTGGATTCATTTCCATTCTGAGAAGTGCAGGTTAACTTAAATGCTATTGGTTTCAATAGCTTTGGAGTATGTTTAATCTCCTCAGAAGTTGACTGGATAGCTCAGTGGTTTAGGTATCTGGCTGCGGAGCCAGAGGTTGGGAGTTTGATTCCCCATTGGGCCTCATAGGGGAAGAGCCAGCCTGTGACGCCTGGGGCAATTTGCACAGTTCCAGAGCTGCCCCCAGAAGAAGGGAATAGTGAACCACTTCTGAGTGTTTTCTACCTAGAAAACCCTGGAAGGGCCACTTTAAGTCAGAATTCACTTGACAGCATGTAATTATTATTATTTTGAATGTCATGGTAACTACAACAGCCATGACATCATATGCAATATTTTGGTTTTGCACTCTTCAGCTCTCACTGTTCAATATCAAAAAGTATTCACCACAGGTCCCATTTGCTGTCACCTCATGTTTTTCAGAATCTTCATTGGTGATGTTAATTGCCAATCTAAACTGAGAGGCAATCTGACCATATTAGTGACAATAGTGGCTTTGCTAATCAGTGGATGTTGACAATAAATAAACACTTTCACATCTTGAATCTCACATCCAATAATTTGTCATTCAGGTGGCCACAGCCAATCCAAAGGCAGTGCACTATATCAGCAAGCAGGGTGGGACTCAAAACACTCTCCTGCATCTTTCCTTTGTCTCTGTAACGACTATAGCATGCAACATTTACCCATGACTATACTCCTGGTGGAAGAAGACAGTGTACTGGTAGATGCTTTCAGCAAGAACTGTAATCCTCTGTGGCACACAAATGGTTGTTGTGCAGTCATGCATTTCAGCTCATCTTCTACATCTGGGAATGCCCAAGTATAGAGATCATTGCTTTCAGAATAAATTCCAAACACACACTATTTTGCAGCAGGACATGTCAACTGGTCCACTTGCCTTCTGTATATTTTCCATTATTTCCCTTTAATCACCAATATAGTAGATAAAGTGAGAACAGATATGGGTCAGATGCATTCTGGAAATGCCCTGGGGGCCTTAGCAAGTATAGGTCACAACCCTTTCCCTCTTTTTCTGTCATCAGTATCTCCAGTTTTTGCAAATCTTTTCAAGGTCTGACAATTGTATGCACCAACCAAATCTTCAGGCACTTCATCTCAAAGCATAGAAAATTCAGTAGTAGGCCTTTTACTTCAAAAGAGACCATTGGTTTTAAAGGCAGCACTCAGACATTTAGCCCTACCTTCTTACAAAGTGGTATTTTTTCAAAGGATTTGTGTCCTCCTTGAAAATATCTGTTTCTCCAGAAGAGGTTTCAGCAATATGAAGGCCTGATTTGTCATCTCTAGCAGTGAGCTCATCAGACCAGATGCAAAAACAATCACTGTCACTGTTCGCTTACCCTTACGTGGTTTCTTAAAGGAACTGGGAAACTAACCTTTGATTTCTGTTCCAACATGTCTGTGGTCACTGGTTCTATCACAGCCTGTGGAGAAAGCTATAAAGAAAAGTTATGGGCAACTAATTAAGTTTAATTTTCTCTTCTAACTTTTAAAGTAGCATTCTGATGACCATTGTGATGATCGCCCCACGTCATAGTCATGAGCTAATTTGCCTGAGCCTATGAGAGGACTGAAGAGGCGGAGTCAGCAGATATATGAAGGCTTGGCAGGAGAAGGAGAAGTCAGATAGAGATTGGGATGAGACAGTCACAGAGGGATACAGATAGAGAGAGATATAGAGGGATAAGAGACTGGTTAGTTAGAGAGAGAAGGAACAGATACTAATAGAGATAAAGCTGGTTAAGATAAATAGCTAGGTAAGGTTCCCTTGACATTTAGTCTAGTCGTGTCTGACTCTAGGGTGCAGTGCTCATCCCTGTTTCCAAGACGTAGAGCCAGCGTTGTCTGAAGACAGTTTCCATGGTCACGTGGCCAGTGTGACTACACATGGAATGCCGTTACCTTCCCATTGAGGTGGTACCTATTTATCTACTCGCATTTTTACATGCTTTCAAACTACTCAGTTAGCAGGAACTGGGACAAGCGACGGGATCTCACTCCGTTGTGTGGATTCGATCTTACGACTGCTAGTCTTCTGACCCTGCAGCACAGAGGCTTCTGCGGTTTAACCCACAGCACCACCTTGTCCCTCAAAAATAGATAGGTAAAGGTAAAGGTTACCCTTGACATTTTTAGTCCAGTCGTGTCCGACTCTAGGGGGCGGTGCTCATCCTGTTTTTCAAGCCGTAGAGCCAGCACTTGTCCGAAGACAGTTTCCGTTGTCATGTAGCCAGAGAATGTGGTAATTATATGGCAAGAGAAAAGTATGTACAGTGATGCCTCGCAAGACAAAATTAATTCGTTCCGCCAGTCTCGTATTGCAAAAATTTTGTCTTGCGAAGCGTGGTACTAACGGTTGTGCAATTTAAAACAAACCAAAAAAGGGGGGGGAAAGCATGGCCATAGAAAAATTTGTCTTGCGAGTCACCAAAAATCGAAAAATGCTTTCGTCTTGCGAGTTTTTTGTTGAGGCATTCATCTTGCGAGGCATCACTGTATTGAGAGATCTGTTAACGATTTGCTTGTGTACAATGTTCATCTGAAGAACCTCTGTGATTATTAAATTGGCTTCACTTCAATAAATAAGTTCTGTTTGCATTCACAAGACAAGTGTTTTGATAAACTTCATTTATATTGTGGATTGAGGTAATCCACTGGTGGCAGTGAAAGGAAAACATGACTGGAGCCCTTGTGAGGTCACAACATGTAGGTGCCACAAAGGGGGAACATCATAATTGGTGTCCAGTGATGGGATATGACACAATCTAGTAAAGCCAGAGCTTGAAAGTGAGTTTTTTTAAAGTCGTGGCTACCTTTTTAGTCAGAGTTCTGTGGTGAAGAAATAGGTGACCTGCTAGAGCTTTTGTGGAAAAGCTTAGTGGTGGGGCTTCTGATCCCAGATCTGGGGGAAACTAAGATAGGGAATGACTCTAAGGGAAAATTCTTTTGTTATCTACCTGAGGGTTTGAGAGACCCAGTGGCTAGCTTAAAATCCAAGGCACTGAGAAGGGAGCGCTGGTGGATAAACATTGTGGCTGGTGAGAAGCAGATAAAGTGTAGCCATCTTTAGCTGCCGAGTGAGAGCTACATAGTACCCCAGAAAAATACTGGGAAAAGAAAACAACAGTAAAAAAAGTGTTTTAAAAAGAGGCCTGACTAACTCAGCAATAGAAACCAGCTCTTATCAAAGAAGTACACATACTTATGCCACCCAAAATAATTTAAAAGCCAGTAATAGAATTGATCCTCAAGAGGCACAAAATTTACCTCAGGAAGTGGAGGGAAATGGAAACCGTCTAGCTCCAGAGGAACAGGAGGAGACTCATGAGGGTGCCTCGGGGAGAGAAAGTATTCTAAGCTCCCCAGATTTTGAAAAATGGAAGCTGGAACAGGAATTTAAATTGAAGGAGCTAGCTATGAAAAACCAATTAGAATTGGAAAAGGAAAAAAGCCAGAGCTCAGGAACTAGAACAAAGGGAGAGTGCTGAGGCATTTGATCAAGAAAATAGACAAAGAGAAATGGAATTAAGACAAAGAGAAATGGAGTTTCAATTACAGATGAAACAATTAGAAATTACTGCTCAAAATAATAACAACGATAAGCGCACTAGTGAGGGAAATCTCTCAAAGATTGATCTAAAGAAATTTCCCCAATATGGAAAAGGAGACTGTCCTGAATCTTCCCTCATATCATTTGAGAGGGCATGCTGGGACTTTGAAATTAAGGATGATGAAAGGATAATAGTTTTGAGATCACAAATAAGTGGAGAGTTAGCTGATTTGTATTCTCAGATGCCTCTGGAACAAGCTAGAGACTTTGAAGCCTATAGAAAAATTGTATATTCTAGATTTGGCATTAATGCAGAACATCTTAGGAGAAAATTTCGTTCCCTTAACAAAAAGCCTGAAGAATCTTATTTTCAGTTAGGGGCAAAACTTACTCACTGTTTGGACAAATTGATGGAATGTGAAAATGTCACTTCTCTAGAACAAATGAAAAATGTGATTGGGTTGGAACTGTTTTATTCTATTTTGCCTGGGGAATTGCGTTACTTAGTCAAAGAAAAAAATCCTAAAAATCTACTAGAAGCAGGTGAAAAGGCGGATTCCATAAGTGAAATTAGAAACCCCAGGTTCTCTGAGGTAAAAATTAGTAGAAACGTGTGGGACGACAGGAGAGAGGCCCCACCCAGTAGTTATTTATTTATTTATTTATTTATTTAGTTAGTTAGTTAGTTAGTTAGTTAGTTATTTAGTTATTTAGTTATTTATTTATTTATTTATTCGATTTTTACCCCGCCCCTCTAGACAATGTCTACTCAGTTAAGATTACATCAGTAGAGACACCTCAGAAGTACCCAAGCTACTGGAAGCCATTACTGGAACTCATGACACAATGACACCTGAACACCCGGAGAGGTTTATAGGTGATAAAAACCTGATATATAGAGAAGTTTTCACAAACAATTGTTCCTGTAAAATATAGCGAGGAAAATTCCTTAGAGGTAACAGAGCCAAGCTTGGGAGGTACTTCTGGAAAGAAAGGCTTGTATGAGGCCCAGGAAAGAGATTTCTGACCTGAGGACAAAGTGGTGAGGCTGAGAACCATAGAGGGGAGTAAATTGCTTTTGGCAGGGTCAGAACCTATAAATTTGTTGTAGCATCACTGGAGGGCTAGAGAGTCTAGTAGCTTTGAAGCTGCAAAAGGCCTTAAAACCTTGCAAGGCAAACCCCTACCTGACATATCAATGAATAAAGAAATAGAATCAGATGAAAAGCTCAATATAGCTGACATAAGCCAAATGTTAGAGATGGCACCTAAAAGAAACTCACCTGAGAATTTGGAGGTGACCCATGATAGTGGTCCCCCACATAGGGAAGTACCTGTGGATGAATTTGTTTGTTAGGAGGAAGGCATAAGCAATAAGCTCTCACGGAAGGACACATCCATAGATGTACTGCAGGAGGAGAAGGAACTGCCTACCCTTTCCCCAGCTGAAAAGTGAAGCCATGAGCCGGAAAGAAAACAGGCTTCACCTGGAAACAGCAAGTGGACGACATCCAGTGGACGGCAAAGTGCCCGATGACTGCCAGTCGACAGAAGAGAGTGCAGACTTCAAGATCTGCCTTTGTTGTGCCTGACTACAACCAGGAGTTCATCGTATACATTGATGTGTCAAGTGTGAGTCTGGGAGCCGTGCTGTGCCGAGCAGACCACAGAGGGAATCGACACCCAGTGACTCTGATCAGCAGGAGATTCTGACCTGGTGAGAGACATTTGTCTACCAACATGAGGGCGTGCCTATCAATTGTTTGGATGCTGAAAAGACTGAAACCCTACATTAGGGGAAGGAGGTTCATCCTTTGCACCAACCATTTCCCTTTGGTGTGGCTACAAATGGTGAAATCCACTAACAGTGAGCTTGCAAGATGGACATGGAAACTGCAAGACATTACTTTGTAATCCACAGCGTAAAAGGAATTCAGAGCATGGAGGCTGATACCTTGCCTCGAATGCCAGGTGGATAAACAAAGTTTGTAACGTGGTATTAAATGTTTTGCTTGTGTATTGTTATGAAAAATGATTAAAATGCCAAGTTTGGATGGGGATAAACTGAGAGGTGGAGAATGATGGGAAATAATGGTGAATAATGGTATAAATGTAAAGGTAATGTGATTTGTATTAATGTAAGTAATGCAAATGTTTATAATTGTATTGATTGTTTTAAATGTTTAAAGTAATAAGGTTGATCTGGTAAACATAATAATAGATAGAAAATTAGTATAAGATATGTATAGGTACTATATATGGTAAATGTAATGTATAATATGGTAAAAATAGGGTATATGATTGTGAACATAACTGGTAAACATATTGTTATGATGATGTTTTGGATGTATTGTTCCCTGTATGTTCCGTTGTTCATAAGGGTAAACTGTAAGGTTTCTCCCATGAAACAAACTTTTCTTAGGGGGGAGGAATGTTACAATCGCCCCACGTCATAGTCATGAGCTAATTTGCATGAGGCTGTGAAAGGAGTCAGCAGATATATGAAAGCTTGGCAGGAGAAGGAGGAGTCAGACAAAGATTGGGATGAGACAGTCAGAGAGATACAGATAGATAGATAGATAACAGAGAGAGAAGAGACTGGGTAGTCAGAGAGAGAAGGAACAGATACTAATAGAGATAAAGCTGGTTAAGATAAATAGATAGAGAAGTTGTATATGGCAAGAGAAAAGTGTGTATTGAGAGACCTGTTAATGATTTGCTTGCATACAATGTTCATCTGAAGAACTTCTGTGATTATTAAATTGGCTTCACTTCAATAAATAAGTTCTGTTTGTGAGCAAAGCCAGTTTTCTGAGAAACTGCTCAACCACGGGACAGAGAGGATTCAGAATGATTAGCTCCTTTACCAGGCAAAACAGGGTCCAATAATTTTACCTTAGGGCAACTAAATCACTCCTGCACCAAGTCTGACCCGATTTCATTGAGAACCAAGGCACACACATGAGTTCTAGGGAATCTAATTCTTTTAGCACTCAGGAATATGTTGGACCCAAATGGTAGCGTTAAGTATACGTGGCCTTATAAAGTACATCAATTTAAGTAAGCCAATTAATTATTGTAGCTTATGTTCTATTCAAGAAGCCAACTTCCAGACATTAAGCATATTTTGTTTTATTAGAAAAATAAAATTCTGAAAGAATAAAGTTTAAGACAAGCAAAGCATCTATGTACATATTTCCAACCCCATCCCTTTGACAAGTAACGGGATTCCTCTATAAAAAATGAAAATAACAAATTGCTAACTAAGAAAATTAGGGGAAGGCGGGCCTTCCCTCCAACTTCGGCAAAACCTACATTTTAAAACAAAACTGTAAATCCCATTGTCTATAATGAAAACAACATACCAAACTTCTGGAAAATCCAAAAATCCAATAGCCCGATAGGAAAAGTCCTGTTATAATGTCCATTTCAAAGTAAAGACTCTCCGGTGTCTTTTCTGATGTCGTCCATCTTTCCCCATTCACATGCTGCGTCTCTCTCTTACCCCTCCTTTCTCCTTCTCTCCCTGGTCTTCCTTACTTCTCCCTCCTTCTTCTGGGAACCACTGGAATGCTATGACTTTAGCTAGCTGACTAGCTCCAGTTACCCAGGTAACGAGATAAGAGGTCAGCTTGACCATTTCAGTGAAGCAGAGAAACTGACTTTGGAATTTTCCACTCTCCAGCACACACAGAAACCAAAATGGATTCTTTCAGGCTAACTTTGTAACTACAAAGTTCCATCAGTAAATCACTTTTTAGCTTTCATAACCAATTTCATCACACTGTTTGCATTCACAAGACAAGTGTTTTGACAAACGTCATTTATATTGTGGATTGAGGTAATCCACTGGTGGCAGTGAGAGGAAAACACGACTGGAGCCTTTGTGAGGTCACAGTGGGTGTCACAAAGGGTGAACTTCACAACCATCATGCCAGTTCATCATGCACTTCAAGTGGACTATCTCTTCTTAAACTATCACAGAGATGGTGTAGTTTTCAAACTGATTGTTCCCTTCCTGCCAAAAGTGTTTCAACAATTCTACCTTGGCCAGACATTATTTTCCTATTTCCCAGAATCTGTCAACACTTTGGATACTTCATGATATACTTTGAATGTAAAACAGACTGTTGACATCCTTTGTAGACATCTTTCAGACGAAGAAATGAGGATGAAGGTAGATTTCTGCTCAGTGTTTTCCTAAATGATTAGCTATCACTATGAAACTCGTTGATGAACCAGCATACTCAGATTTCCCTACCTCCCTGAAGCAGAAACCACCTTTGAAGTATATGTACAGGATATGTTGATAAAGGAAGGATTGTGAATGGTTGCAAGTTAGTCAGCACTCAACCATTGTCTGAAGTTATCAACTTGGTTTTAGAGCAAGAAACAGTGTTGCCTGTGGCAAGGGGAGCAGTTCTTTAATATAATTCTCTCTCTTCTGGTAAGGCAGTTTGCCAGTCACTCATATGTGAGTCACACTGAAGAAGCAGCACGGGTTGCTTACCTGTAATTGAGGTTCTTTTAGCAGTCATCTAGGAACTAATTTGTTGTTGTTGTTTAGTCATTAAGTCATGTCTGACTCTTCATGACCCCATGGACCAGAGCACGCCAGACCCTCCTGTCTTCCACTGCCTCCCAGAGTTGGGTCAAATTCATGATGGTAGCTTCGGTGACACTGTCCAACCATCTCGTCCTCTGTCGTCCCCTTCTCCTCTTGCCTTCACACTTTCATAACATCAGGGTATTTTCCAGGGACATTTCTCTTCTCATGAGATGGCCAAAGTATTGGAGCCTCAGCTTCAGGATCTGTCCTTCCAGTGAGCACTATGGGTTAATTTACTGCAAGATGGATAGGTTTGTTCTCCTTGCAGTCCAGGGGACTCTCAAGAGTCACCACCGGCAACACAATTCAAAAGCATCGATTCTTCAGCGGTCAGCCTTCTTTATGGTCCAGCTCTCACTTCCTTTCATCACTCCTGGAAAAACCACAGCTTTGGCGATGCAGACTGTAACGGCCTCCCTCTACCTCACAAAAGGGGGAGGGTCGCTACGTCACTCTAAATCACTCTTCTTTTCCACTGCCACCAACCATTCCCTCAAATAAGTAGCTTCAGGCCAAAATATGATTCAAAATAAAAACTCAGGTTTATTGGGTACAAATAAAAGGAATGGTAAATCACTTATAATTAAATAATAATTCAATCACTATAATAAAGGCACTAGCATACACAGACTCTCACAATATATATCACAGATCTCCTAACTCCTCTCTAAACCCTATCCAAGCCCTATCCAAGCCCTATCAGTCCCTATCTAAAGTCTCTCACACACATTCACTCCCATTTATACAACAGCTCCATCCCTTATGTCCCACCCTCCGTCACACCATTGGTAGATGACTCACAGCTTTAGCAGTGACGGACAGGTGAGGTCATAGCTGTATGTAACAATACCTCCCCCCTTTAAAAGTTGTTTTGTGGGGGAAAGCTAAGGTGCTTTTCACCCAAAACAACTAGTAGCAAAAATCAAAACATTACAGTTTCCCCACATTTCAAAACTTACCATCAACATTCAGGCATACTCTTATAATACTATATACTTACACTCAATAAATCATTTGCATATATACAGAACAACATTTCAGTGAACACATATTTTCATAACTTTTAAACACAGTAACCAATTTCAAGAGTCCATCTTTTCATCTTCCGTCGTCTGGTCTTCGGGATAAGGCGTCAGCAACACAGTTCATA